AAAGAAACTCTTGTCAGGAAGGAATAAGTGTAGCAAACTGGCGACTGAGTCTGGCTTTGTATGGCCCACGATAAAATACAGGAACGCCTTAATGATACGCCGATTCTCGAGGTGTTAACAGTAGCTACAGCATCTCCAATGCGCAGAGGAACAGCTAAATCTCTTTGACGGTTCAACGGCTAAATTTGCGCAAGCCTCAAACGTGTGGACAGTCTCTTGTTAATAATGTACAGCGTTTAGTAAGCTGTATTATGCATAATTGAGACGTGGCTCGTGTATAAAACTTCAACAAGATTGAAGAAACACACTTTCCCACCCACAGAGGGAGAGACCATCGCCCTTCTGCAGTAGCAATCTTGCGTCTGGACCTAATCATCATATAAACAGTGCACGAAGATACTAAATTCAAACCGCGTCTCCTACAAAGCAGAATATATCACCGTTAAAATACGAGTCCTTTATTCATATTTAGAGGAAATTTTGCTGTGTGAGGCATGCTGAGGTAAAACTCTGCCCATAATGATAAACATGCAAATTTCCCAAGCAAGTTAGCAATTGGATACTATGGTCAAAAAGACGTGAAATTTACACGGCATGAAACTCAACTCTCGACTAACAACATTAATATTTTAATTTTTTCTCACGCGTGCTACATGTACAACCCATATAATTTTCGTAAATCAATGTCCTAATAAAACATTACGTGTAGAGTAAAAGTTACTGTAATTTTCACCTCATTCACTAACTGCAAACAACACACAAACAAATGGAAAATTTCCGTAGACTGGTTCAGTGATCATGAAATGTGACCGAGAGGCCGAATTATTTGGATCTCGTACAGAGAAAGAATCCGAGAAACGAAGCTAAAGGAAAAGAATTAAGAAGCTTCTAGACAGAAAACGGAGACGAGGGTGTAGAAGGAAGTTTGCGTGGTATTGACTGCAGAGAGATGTGTTAACGATGGAGATTAATGCGTGTTCCGAGTAAGCAAGACCAACAGCAAAACACAGCAACCTCAGAGATCCTAGGAAGCTGAACCACCGATAGTTTCCGTGCCACTTAGCTTCACTTCAGTTATCACAACTCCGTTTAAAATATACGAATATGTGATACAAGCATGGAAGGTGGGAACCAAAATATTAAGTCTCTTCTATTACCTTAAATACAACGTCGCTGTTACATTAGCCATTATTAATTCGGTTATGGGGGCCAAATCATAAATATATAACAACTATACCTGTATCTGGTGTGAATGAAATGTCACTAGGGTAATACATTTTCTACATCCAAACAATATACAGCAAATACAATACGAAACCAATTTCTCAGCTTACTTTTTCTTCATTAATAATACGATTGAAATTTATTCTTGTAACTACACCCAATCGATGTTGATGTGACGTCAACGACCATCTATTCATATTAATAAATCAGCACGCACATTCTTTAATTTTCACACAAGTGGTCAGTTGGAATCTTGACATATGGCCCACTCCATGGGCCGAAAATGTAATGAAATGGCTGCGGTTTGCAATATTTCTTCCGCTTTTCTGTAATCCATCTTCAATTCCTATCAGCTGAAGGACGTACGAGTACAATAGATTTCTTACAACTGTCCCCAAGAGTAATTTGTACTACTGTTTATTGGAAATTCCTTATAACAGATTTATATGTTGTGGATCGGATCAACACATCACTTATATTACCCCTTACATGGAGGGTTTTTATTTTCTTATAAGTCTCATTTCTTTATAAAAATAGGGACATCAGTGTTACAGGGGAGAAAGTGGGTTTTCAAGAGGTAACGTCTATCCATCCACCCTGGTTAATGTCCGAAACTACCGACGATTAGAATTAAATAAGGTAAGAACAGAAGAAACCAAAAGGAGATGACGGAGATGGGTTGCAGAAATTTACAAACGTTTAATCGTCCTGACGACGCAGCAAGCAATAAGTAACTCTGAAACGTCGATAAATTTCTACCAGACTACACGGCATAACATCCCATAAGACAGTATTCATATTCGTTGCCGTGAGATCCTGAAATCTCACACCATAAGTCGCCACGCGAGTATTATTTTGGTCGTCCAATTTACACATAACTGGATTCGAACTCTATACATTTGCTCCAAAATGGTTCATCGTCAAAAAAAAACTGTGTACATGAAATGAAACACATCTCATTAACATGTATCTGAAAACTTTTTCGGTACGGCAAATATGAATCGAAAAACAAAACAATCCATTACCCCATTTGTAATTAGCTTTATCAACAATATACTTGTACTAGTACGTTTATTTTTACGTGCAATAAACACAAAAACTACGTAACACAGAAATTGGAATTAGCAGAGAAAGCATTTGAACAAAAGCATAGATACTCCACAGGAGTATATACTCATTTAATGACGTCTTATCAATGTAGAATTATACGATGATTGGGAAGAAAAACTGCATCGCCTACTTTAAGCCACTGTGACTCCATTTGCATGAATGGACTTTCGTCAGTATAGACGGCTTTGTCGTTATGGTCGTGCTAGTAAGGAAATCCACATAATTCCTACTAATCCCTTACAGCAGTTTCTCAAACAATGCTCCGCGGAACACTGGAGATCCGTGAGAAACATCTGATGGCAGTAATTTATCGCGACTACCTGTCTGAAATAATGACATGTAACTCAAGAACTTGTTCCATAACTGGAATGTAACCTAGAATACGTCGAGCAAAGTTCAAGTGCAATTTAAATTGTATTTAAGTTAAGAATTTTAATTCTTTAACTTCTCACTTCTTCTAATAGTCGTCCTGCTGATTAGCACTGAACAGCAGTTTCGCTACGCGATCAGCATCGCTCCCGAATATAAAACTGATCTCTAATTTAAAAAGGTAAAAAAATTGATTTCAAATAAGTAACTTTTATTGTTTCTTACTCTGCTTCAACATTCATATCTTGAAACGTCGTATACAAGAAATCGAACCTTATTTACATAATTAGCTTATCTGTAGGTACAACCTATAAAAACTGAGAGCTGTTCCTATTTTTCAACACCTAAAAGTGTTCCGCTGTCAAACTAGTTCGGAAAAAACTGCCTTGAGGGACATAACACGGAGATTCAAGTATTTTAATTGATTCAGAATATGGAGGCCGGAACGTAAGGTTGCTTATGGTTTAAAAATTACGATAAATGAGGACGCTTCCTTCCTGATCCCTTCCAATTCAGAACTCATAATCACCATACTAATAAGATGGCTGTCTCCTGAAATGGTGTACTTGCCGACATATAAAGAGTGCGGCAAGGGCCTCGCAGACGTCGGTGAACAAGACTACATGGCCAGAAGACAACCATCTTCATGCCATTATGTTACGAGTTGACCCGTTAAATTACTTGATACAAAATTAAAATTGGCCACTTCTGACGCCATCCTTACCTGGAACTTGGCTCCTCAGACGTCGCTGGGTTATAAAGAAGCCCACCGTGAGGACACAGAAGATGTCCATTCACGATGAAAGACTCTGGGTCTCTTCGGTTCGGATCCCTGCGACAAAGAAATTTACAGTAAAGCAAAACGTGTGAAGCTATCCCCACGCCTAAGCACCTTGCTAAAAAGGTAAAGGAATATGGGAGAATGTGACTAAAGCCTCACACAAACTCTCCTTATATCTCTGGATCTCTCCACACGAAAATCTCTCGCTCACCTGCCATCTTCATTACAATTTCAGATCAGAGATGGGTGACCAGCTTCATGCTCCGGCAACTTTACCCCGTACTAATCACCTCCCGTTATAGGAAAACAGGTGTATCACACAGCCGATACGGACGTGGTGGCAAATCAGAAAACCCATACCTTTACCGGGAATTGAACCATGGTTGTCCACCCCGCAGATAGTTACTTTAGTGCCTCTTGTGCACTCTTTGTTACCTTTGTAGAAAAATGTAAAAACAAGTAGCTGTTTCTGTTAGTTGTACAACGTAAAATAAGATCATGTCTGGCCATCCCTGAAACTAAACAGACGACGAGGATATATTGTACTGTGGGTTTACACTAAGGCTACAGCTGGATGGCAAAGTGTTAAAAATAGCCTAAGTGGGATTTCTGGATCACAGGGAGACGAGTATGAAGATGATTATCGTCCTGATTATGGAAACAGCAAGCACTACTGAAACGTCAGTAAACTTGTACCAGACTACACGGCGCAACAACCCAGAAGACAGCCATCCTGACTGTTAAATTATGTCGATGTGGTCTCAGATTCTTGAAACTTTACACATCCCTTGAGCAGAAACTTGGTGACATGCGGATTGCAAAATCTATCGTCGTCGGTTTACGCAAGCGACTTTTTTCTACAGACTACACGCAACGCTCTGTCACCGGAAAAAACTTTTCCACACTCAACTCAATGTCTCCTGGGACATAGAAATTGCCCATCGTGGAAAATGTGGATTAATAAAAACACATAGGATGTTGACGACCCTTTTCTAACTTACCTAAACATCCCTTGTTCACTGAGGTACATATAACAGAGTCACAATGCGAGGAAATTGAAGGGAAATAATTTAAACAACCTTCTGCACCATACACTCGGCATCACAAACTGTTGACACAAGGCACAGTGGAATACGGCACATTTCAGTCTCCAAAATCCACACTTAAAGCACGCACAAAGAAAGAAATATATGAAGTAGTGATGACTTTAAAAATCAATACGAACATCCGAACTTACTTTTTTTTATAAAGACTGCGTTTCAAGTACAGGGACATTTCGAATTGTCAGCCCAAAAAAGAAAAATATTAACCGCAAGTAAGAGAAATACATTAAACTATTATCGAAAGAAATAGAACACCTCTCACATATGTATTTTTAACGCATGCTGCTGGAGATAAATGTAAGAGATGTGAGAAAATTCTGTCTCATCAACAAATTTATGCTGAAGCGACATACACGTGTGTCGTGCCGTAATTTTACAAAGGGGAGACAAACTAATCAAAAATTATACAACCCGTGGTCCTCAATCCCTGGCGACCCTTGTTCGGTTACTGTTCTATAGTGTGTTAATACCGTCCTTTAAAACTTATCCCAGTCGTTCAGGTGGACTATTTTAAAGAGTTTAACAGCAAACTGAATAGTCTGACCAAAAGTTCCAATTTTTATTCTGTAACGACTGTATCAGTACGTACAAATTAATGTAAATACACACGGAACACTGTACAAAAATTTAACGAAGTTGGACAGGGGGAAAAGCATGAATAAAAAAAATAACACTTTTCAAATAGAGCTTAAGTAAACTGTCGCAAGCATAAATGATTAAAGTGTACTTCCTTATAGAACTGTCCTTCCAGGACCAAGAACTTCGCTTGACGACATATTCCGGAAATACTAACGATGAGTCTGCCACGATCAACACATTGGCACACAACTTCACTTTCTCGCCGAGACAACTGATCACTATCAATACCGGTTAACGTTCTTTATCCTCGGCGTAACAGAGGTAAAACGTGTTCAGCCTGCGAGTAACTAAGCATCACGTCATACAGATGTGTGACCTCTGCCGTGTGTTACTTTGTAACTAAGCGAAAGACGTGTACAAAATTGTGAAGCTCATTTGTAAAGTACGCGTTCACCAGACCTGTATAAACTCAGAAGGCAGGTTTTGAACTTCAAGCAGGTCTACTATACGCATTTTCAGTCTGCTGCCATTAATCTCCTAATATTTATTACAATTATCAATTTAAACACAGCCTTTTCCAAAGTAATATTTGAGGTTTTCACGGCGGTAAGTCCGAAGAGGGCTGTCTTCTGGACTGTAGCGCCGTGTAGTCTGGTAGAAGTTTACCGACGTTTCAGAGATCCTTGCTGCCTCATAATGCCACATAGAAACCCACGGCTTAAAGCCAGACAATACGCGTCGAATCCCCGACAGATAATGCCATATTTTGCGCAGATGAGCCCAGAAATGCCACAAGACACTATGATGGAAAGCCGATGACAAGTGTCGCGAAGCCGAATACGAACCCTAAATAAGCCAACACACAGCTCGAAATGCTACGGGCAACGATATTGACAAACATAGTTAATAGTGTTTCTTAAGGTTCCTGAAGACCACAGTACCATTTCTGGGACCATATTAACAAGATTCGTGTTCATTCCGTCTAAATTTCAAGCGAGTTTGAAACGAAAGGGAAAATAATTTTTGGTAAGTCCTAACAAATTGTGTTTAATGGATTTTATTGCGCAGTTCAGACACAGAATTAAGGCTGAAGTGCCACTTCTCCTAAATTAATATAAGCTCTAAATCAGCAATCACATTTCGGTTGTAAGTTTTTAGACTTGTGTAACTTTTACCCTGCAACCGGCGAACTGCTCGATTCTTCGAACACTTGGTATGAATATCACGTGACTGGAGACCACTAAATCCTGGCACTTTGTATTTCTTTTCTTCAAATTCATCTAATACATATACCCCGTCAAGAAATGTAATCTTCAGGTGCAGACCAATAAACTTACGCCATTTTCGTTCCCAGCTAAAAGTGACGAAAATATAAGTTACACACACCATTGGTTTAAAAAAGTGTTCTAATGTCAACATATGAGCGCAATGTTCTAGACGGAACTGTGTCAACCGCTGGCCGCCTCTCACGAGTTAATTCTCCGTAAAAACTTCCAATTACTACGCAGCCTTCCCTTGAGAATCTCTCGAATAATCAAAGGTAAGCAGGGGAGAAAAATACAGAATGTAGAGGGCGTGGCTGTGTGGAATAGGGGTTCAGAGTACTTATACAAACAGAAGTAAAGTTCGGACGACAGGAACTCCATCACAGAATTAACAAGTAGGAAAGCATAATTGTGCAATACTGGCACTCAGACAACTTTCTCGGACCTTACTCCCAGCCACACACACACTTTTTAACCCCATTATCGTTTTGTGGGCTCGACTATATACACTGAACATTCAGAGAACAATGGTCACAACTAAAAAATAAGACTGTAGTAACTTTTGCAAATCAGATTATACCTAGATCGAACCTAAAGGCTTTATATCATGGATTTTAGTTGTGTCCCTCACTAATCAGAGAAAGAAATGGATCATGACCTCACTTTTAAATTTATTTTAGAGTTTTAGTTTCACCCATAAATTCGCCACGTTTCACAACAATTCCATAAATATGACACGAAACAAATTTACAGAAAATAACACATTCCAGAGGACACCCCAAATTATGCATAAAATTGCAGTACATCAATGAACGATATTATATTTGACATAGTTAAAAAAATCATTTCTGATTACATGTAACTCATTCTTTAAAAGAGTCATTGAAATTAAAAAATGTTTTGCCATCTTTCGAGATTTCACACTCAATATCTGCGGTCTTCAAACAACACAAGTCTAGAAGTAACATAAAAATATCAAACTAAAGAAGTTTGCTTCAACGTTAAAAACTAGCAAAGGAAAGAGTTAACTG